CTTAACGATATAAACAACATTGTTCTGCCAAGGTCTTTTCTTTTGCTGTTTTTTTTACATTGACATTTGTAAATCCTTATCTCATTCGTTAGCCGCGATCTCCAAAACAGACGATGACCTAGAAAGCGGTATTTCGTTGAAATACCTGAAACCAGGGCTAATACGGAACAAATATCTCACAGACCAATGAAGTCTTAAATGAGGGTCTTACTAAAACTAGCTTTACAGTAATATTTTTAGTGGTCAACTCCTATAAATTTGTTCTGAAATTATTGCACCGAAAACGCCTACTATGATATCCCGCCCAGCATGAGATTTGGGAGCTCTGTGGCCACTTCATGTTTTCTTGCTAGCATGTTTACAAAATTGTTATATGTATGCATACACGACCACGCTTTACTGTTGAAAATGAGTGTTGTCTCAAATCAGGTTTTGCCATTTTTCCTAAAATCAATCTATAAATTGAATACTATTGTCTGTATATAAATAAATAAACGCACAGATTCTTCGTTTCTAAGAAAATATGAAATTAAGATAATGAAACTATGCCATTTTTGTAACAACATGTTCATAGCCAAATGCCAGTTTTATTGAAGTATTGTTTCATTAGAATGTCAGAACAAAACTATACATAGAAATCGTAAGTCATGTAAATATGTTGAATATTCGAAAGTGAAGAAGTTTTAAAATCATTATCGTGGCCAAAAATGGTTTTTGCTGTTTACACTATTTAGAGTAAATCGAACATATTCAGCATATAGGGTCTGTTAAATATGATATTGCAATTTACAAACGACGTCATAGGTTACGGATTACATTTATTTTAATATCTCAATAAAGTTATCACTCACAAATTTGTGTCGAATGGGCGATCAATTTTGAGATAGAGTAGCTATGGACGTTTTACAAAATAGGAATTTATCAATTATGATACAATAGTTAAACAACAAATCAAAATAATGACGATAAACGAAATTTTACGATATCACGATCAAAGTCAAATAGACTGCATTTGATCTATTGAGTGGAGATACCTCAGCTTGTCGGTTTCAGTTCCATATAAAAAAAAACTTTAACTGACAACCTAACAGCAAGTTGTACATCTTTGATCTTTGGTGGGTTCGTAAACTCCTACATGAGCATTTGCCGCAGTCAGTTTGTGGACCGCAATGTCTTTTCGTAGGCCATTCAGCAAACCCCATATACTCGGATGTTTGCATCGGAACATTCCTTGTAAGGCGTTGTGAAATCCTTCTACAGCGTTTGTTGTTCTTGGGGCCGAAGGCATCATTTCAATCTCTTTGGCATAGTTCCACAATCGAGGGGGAAATCTTGCTTCTCTTGGACGTGAACCCACTTGAGATTCACGAATGTAGGAAGATTCAAAATATTGCAAAAGTTGATTGCATTCGGGCGAATCTTCGAAGGTGTCGCAAAGCAAGGTGAAGACTTCGGCAACCTCGTTAATGGGAACAAAAGCCAGAGCTGCCAAACTTCTAATTTTCAGATTGAAAGAGGGTAAACATTTCAAACTTCTCTTTTAATCCGATAGAAACCAACTTTTCGAATTATAGCTTGTGACAGGTGAAAATAACATCCTTTAATATCGGCCAGAGGAAATTGTGCATGGAATGCATTGATAGCTGCTATTTCAAAATCAACAATGATTTTGGTGGGGTTAGCATTTGGGAAAATGATTTTCAACACTTCCCACATCTGAACGTATGTTTCTTGTCGCTTGTCTCGTAATAGGAAATATACGCACGGTGGATAGGATGCGCCCACTTTACAGTGAATTGTATACAACTGGAAGAAAATATCGGGCACCACATCAAATGTACCGTCGCCCAGATATGTGTCACTATCTAGATGTGCAAGTAGTGATCGATCTCCAATGGCCATTATTCGATGACGATCCTTCGGGCCAGTGTCATGCAAAATGATATCTTAATATTCGCTCGGAATATCAAAGCTTGCACTTGTAGGATTCGTACGTGAACAATTTTTCTGTCGCCTATCGCCTTACTCTGCGTATATTGGCCTCCAGAGTCGACATGCCTGGCAAGCGCACTAGTACATCTGTTGATCTATTATTCAATACTTCACCTAAAATATATCTTGTCGATGTATTTGATGGTGTTGACGCTGCTTCTTTTAATGTTGCACGGATGATCCCAACTTCAGTCTTAGTGCTGTCGCCAGAATGACTGTGATATCCTAGTTCTTTTATTACATTTGCACCGATCGTAACAACAGTCGATTTACATCGAAATTTCCTAAACTGACGGCAGCGCCAATGCGTAGCATCTGAAACCCGATCATTTCGCTTACAATATTCGTGGCCTTTGTAAATCAGTAAGTCGTTTCCTCTTCCTCTTGTGGTCTTGGAAAATGTAGGCGCCATGTTTCCAACTTATTTTCGCAAAGGGACTTGTCATCTTCGCTGCTGCAACATCCTGAAGAAACAGTTTGGAATTGTCTGCGAGGGAAAAAGGGCATTGGTGCGAGGAAAAACTTTGCGCGGGATCGAACTATCTGCGAGGGAAAAAGGGCATTGATGCGAGGAAAAACTTTGCGCGGGATCGAACTAACACATCAATTAAAATCCTTGCTCGCGCTCTTCAAGAGTCGTCGACCGTTCAAAGCGCAAATCATACTCCCCAATTTTGGCTCGCATTCTACAGCGGAACATTTTGTCCATTGAGTCTTATGATATCGACAATTGCGATGACAATGACAGACGGAGTATAATATAAATATATAATATAATTTAAATATAATAAAATAGTTGTAATAAAGCCTTCGAGTATATAATCGAGAATTCCATGGTAATATTGATTGTTTTCGCAACGTATGCATTTGGAGAAAGAATCCTAAGTGTACCTTTCAATCCTATATACTATAGTATATAGCATGGAAGGATAAGGGTGTATATGTAAAGACGCTAATATCCGTAAATGCAAATGCCCATGGGTGTAGATGTTCATGGGTGCAAATGTCTGTGGGTACAATTGTACGCGGGTGTAAAAGTACGCGGGTGTAAATGTATGTAGGTTCAAATGTCCGCGGGTGCAAATGTACATGGGTTCAAATGTCCGCGGGTGCAAATGTTCGTGGGTTCAAATGTACATGGGTTCAAATGTCCGCGGGTGCAAATGTACATGGATTCAAATGTACGCGGGTGCAAACGTACACGGGTGCAAATGTCCGCGGGTGCAAATGTACATGGGTTCAAATGTTCGCGGGTGCAAATGTTCGTGGGTTCAAATGTACATGGGTTCAAATGTCCGCGGGTGCAAATGTCCAGGGTTCAAATGTACGCGAGTGCAAACTTACACGGGTTCAAATGTCCGCGGGTGAAAATGTACATGGGTTCAAATGTACGCGGGTGCAAACGTACACGGGTTCAAATGTACGCGGGTTCAATCTATATGCGGGTGCTAAAATCCATGGGTGGAAATAAATGGGTTCAAATGTCCGTAGGTGCAAATGTCCATAGGTGCAATAGTATACAGGTGCAATTGTCCTGGGTTCAAATTACGGGTTCAGATGTACGGGTTCAAATGTACGTAGGTTCAAATGTGCTGTCACCAAATGACATCTTTCTTTTTAATGATTTGCTGACAAAACCATTCGCTGACGACACTGGTCTTCTCGGCAGTTCTGATCTTTGTCTGATCTCCAAACGAATTGGAAAAGGTTTATGATAGGATGTTATGTACTAATAAACTAACCATCGATATCAAATTAGTACACATTTGGCCTAATCGCAACAATGAAAATCACCTTTGAAAAACTAAACTTATACCATATATAACCTATGTTTTGACGTTGTGTAATGTAAAGGCAGATGGAAGCAGTCCAGTCCTTGATTTTCATCGCTCCGCTTTCTGAGATTGTCCGATCTTAACTCCCAACAAGGATTTGAGCTATCGAAATCAAGTTTGGTTAATTTAATTGTTCCAAAAATGTCAACAAAGCAAGTCCGCAGACGATTATATTTTTTGCGCTCATTTGATCTGGATAGTAATTTGGATGAAAGTAGATGTGATGTTTTCAATTCGCGCAACAACGTGATGGTGTTGCCTTCTATGTAACTGTTGCGTGGGAAGTTATACAAAATACTTCTAAATGAACACCACCCACAAAAAGAGAATGGAAACCGTACTAAATCATCAATCATAAAATACTCTTTGCGCGCCCAAATAACATTGGGAAAAACTCTCTTGTCTACAACAAGATAAAACGTGACAAATTAAATGAGGAACAATCACAAAAAGGCAAAATTTCATTATTAATTTTGAATTAGATATTTTTTTAATCAGTCTATTTACATCCACAGTTAATTCTAAAAAATTGCAGTCTACCATGTCCACCCATTGAAGCATTTTATCCTATAACTTTGACAAGGCATTACTGCCAATTCCGGTGTCCGAATGAATTTTGGGATTCGGGTTATGCTATCCAATGTAAATCATAAACCATTCTTCCAAGATTTTAATTATTTGTATATCTTTCCTGTATGTTTCGGAGAAATTCAAATGAGGATTTATTTATTATCCCCGGGTTTCTAAAGAGAAACGACAGGTAATAATTATTTGTGTCAATAATTAGGTTTTCAATTAGTGGAAATTGGCACATTGATGTCACTTGATTGTAGGGTATAATGTATCGCTACACCGTACAAGAGATTCTTAAAATTATTTTCCAGAAATCCTTCAAAGTCCATATATATGATCTTATGCTAAAACCATTTCCTTTCTTGTGCCGTGGATAAATCATGCTTGGAAAACGATATACAATCTTTGTTTTACCTTATAAGCACGCATGATTATTGTAATCTGGGGAACGTAAGTTCTTAAGCAAGTGCTTCGAGTGGCACAGCCCGCAGGCCAAACGCATTCCTCGACGGGAGAAACTTGTACTATTATTGTTGTTTGCGTAGTATAAAAGATGGATCAATAATATACCACTATGCAAAACGGTCTTCCGGTATGTAACGACCTTGGCCACGACAGGATAATCAATGTTTAATGTATAAAATTCTTCCCATCAATATTGTGTAAATTTAGTTCAGTAATTGAGATGCATAATATTTCAAACGAAAAAGAAAATGCAGCGCAAGTTTACTGTGTGGTGGATTTAGGAACACTTTCTTGTCTGAGGTATTTTATCTGATATTTAAGACTTTCCATCACGCAGTAAGAATACATATGAATGCAAAAATTAGATTTACTTGTTACTCGTCATATTGAAGCTCCAGTTTCGAGTACTTTTTCCGTATAAAATTGAATGTTTTTATGAAGCGTTTTAGCGTTCAATCTTTACTAATTTTTCATAAATTTAACGCATTTTCACGCACAAATTATAAGGAAAAGGATAAAAATTACAATTTGTAGAGTGCGTAAATTTCAACTTGGAAATTGGCTGAATAGATTATGGATAAAGAGAAATACAGCTGATAGTTTGTTATTCTTCGAAAATGCAGCATTTCATGCTCAGAAATAGTCTTTCGTAATTTTCATCTTTACCTAATATTAAGTTATCTCATTGTATCTGCAAATCATGTCTTTCCCATGGAATTGACTCGTTTGAATAATGTGTAACATATTGCCATTTTTTACATTTTACTAACAGTGTATTGGGGATTCAATAAGTACACACTAAATATCGCCAATACAGATTGGAAGTAGTTGGGGCGACTATGGCTCCTCAATTAGCGACTGTTGATAGACTAGATGTACTACCTGTTCGATTCATTATTGGAGTTCTGAGATTTTTCAATTTTCTGTGTATGGTGACATTACTGACGACATTTCGTTTTGCTGGATGGGATCTTGAAAGTAAGTTTTGTGCAAATGTTATCAGATAATAAAAGCAGTAAAGTGTAAAGATATAAGTGCAGTTAATCTCATAGATGTTTCACAAATAACTCAAGCCTATTGAAAGGATGCCACCAATGGCGGAATAGTACCATTCTGTACCAACTCCGAGTTTACAGCATAATTTCACTAGTTTGCGATTGGTTAATTTTAAACGCAAATATTCAATGGTATAGCACGATCTTCAAATGCTCTGTCGTTGATAACGTTCTATTTTTTTTTTATAATAAATAATAATTTGGTAAAGCGTGTAATGTGGCAGCCTAATAATATGGTTTACATCCCTTATTTATTTTCCTACATACACCAAAAGAGGCTACGGAACAGTGCTTCAAACCCGAAAAATAAAGTTTTAACATCAGGTCTTTTACATACAAATAGTAGAATTCCGGCCTTTCACACTATACCAAATAGGAATGGGTCACATTTATTCAATAACACGGAACAGGTGAATGATACTGTATAAATGAATATGTTCAATAAATAACCACTTTAGAACTCATTTTCAGATTTACGCAGATTTGTTCCTAAACGTGGAAAATGGGAAGGATATAACGCCAATATGTCTACCAATGCACCACGTTTGTTAGTACATACTGTTTTTGTTGTTATTTAGATTTTAGAATATATAAGGATTCAGTTTAGCGCACGAAGTTTAAAATTACGATTGAATGGTTTGCCACCACAGTAACTATTGAGTCCAGTTCTACGTTTCAGACCTATTATTGATTATAATTTAGCGACGTATTTCCGTAAGTGTCGAATAAGGCGAGGCGTGGTACTTCATCGGTGTAATATTTCATCAAGTGGCTTTCCATTTCATAATTGATAAACGGTAGCGATACAGTATTAGTACAAAAATAAAACAGTTTTTTTCAAAACCTAGGAATAGAGGTACCGTGATGTACATATTTCAAAATATCTTCAAAGATCTTTTCAGAAAAGCTGTGAAAGGTAAATCCGCACCTAACCCTACTGTATATTGCATGGAAACATTAGAAAAGCGCAGGTAGGTCAGGTATTATTCTATTTCTTGTCACTCAAATGATAATACGATAAATACGTTTTTATTGTTTGAAATTGTACCTTGCTACTAATTCAATATAATTCATGTCAACTTGGTCAAATACACGAGTAACTATAAAATGGCTTTAGAAGTTCAGTTTGCATATTGTCGATTAGGTGTGTATATATGTTTGTTCGTTCACCTTGAATTGACATTATATTTCCAGGTTATTGGATTTCAGCCAAGCAGGCCGTCCAATGGTTATCATTTTTGGATCATGTACGTGACCTCCCTTTATGGCCGCGTTGGCCACACTTTCTGCAGGCATTGCCCAATATCAAGGCAAAGTTGATTTTATTGTTATATATGTACAAGAAGCCCACGCAACAAACGGACTATGGGTTCAAGTGGGAAATAGGTGAGTTTTGAAAAGTTTTGTTGCTTTCCCAATCGTAGTTGTTGTCACAAGACGCATCTCAATGGATTGGTATTCATTTTTCTCATCTATGAATATTGTATTTGCAATTTTTTTTATAGATATGAGATTGCACGCCACGAATCCATTTTTGAAAGACAGGCAGCTGCGCAGAAATTGAAACCTAAGCTTCCACAATGTTTAATTATGCTTGACGATATGACCAATCAAGCATGTCTAGACTATGCTGGATATCCCGATCGTATCGTTGTTATATACGGTGGAACTATACAGTATTTGGGAGGAAGGGGACCTTTTGGATTCTGCGTGGCTGAGATGAATCAAGCTCTAGAAAAGTTGTTAAAGTGAAAATGTAAAATTTGAGAAAACACACCAAAGGAATACACAACACCTGCTCTTATACACCGTACTCAGTAAACGTTGTAAAAATTGTGCAACACTTGCTTCCAACGGGATATCCACTCAGAGTTGTTAGTGTGATTGAGCTTTATGTAAATACAAGAAACTGATGTAAAAAATGTAACAATGTTTAAATATAAAAGCAATCAATAGCGGCGTCTGTGTATGCTCGTTTAACTAATATATTAAAATTTGTTTATTGACTAAAATTTTGTTTATCGCAGCGAATTTCGTTCGTAATGTAACAAAATTGACTAGATGTTTAATGAAGTGTTACAACGGTTGAACCATGCTTAGAACTTCACGACAGCAGTGTCATACAACCATTGAAAGTAAATATAAGAGTGATCCATACATAATTTTCATTCGTCCTCTGCAGAATATTGTAAATTTATAGATTTTTCCTATTACTTTTAAACGAAACTGTGGTTTGAAAATTGTACAGTTATAAAAATGTTATTTTTATGTTACACTATAAAAAACTTGATGAATTTTGTTATATTATAATATTTTAATTTTTCCGTGATTTTTTCCAAAAGGATTAGATCTAATGAAGGTATTTTTTTAAACTGCGAAAAAGCTCGCGGGAGAAAGGCCCGAAACACCCTAGTTCTTTTGGGAAAAAATCTCGGACATTTTTTTATGAAATTGCAAACGTTAGTATGAAAATAAAACAAATTGAACAAAAAAAGGTGTTGGATGATTATTTATACATTTATCTGGGCTCTGAGGGATACCAATATTTTCAGCATTTGCTACTTCAGTTGGAAATTTAGACATTTTAATTAAAAATTCAATTTACGACCCTGACTGCGGCGAAATCAGATTATCGACTAACGGTCTGGGGACACTAAACCGTCGTAGTTTAAATTAAAACCAATTATAAAAGTCTCAAGTGGATATCTTGTTAAATTAATGACACATGCCATCAAATAGGATCAAATGTGTGCATTCGGGTTTGGAGAAAATTTAACATTACTTGTACTTTCATCTTTCTATATTTAAACCTTATTAAGGCATAAGATAATTTCCCCGCTATATGAGTTTGAATCTTCTGAATTGCAAAATAAGTCATTAATTTCTGGAGTGGAATATTGATTTAAATGGAAGGAGTAGAATCTGGCGTAGACCTGGATCATTTTTATTTGAAGTATGAAAATATACTAAATCCTTAACAACATGTTTCTTAAAACCATTCATGTTTACGTGTATGGATGAAGTCTAGATTGCGGTATTGAAATTGGCGTAAATTCAGCTTAGTAATTGTTTAGTGACATTGGCGACGAAGACCTCCGGCATTAGTTTACAGAAAACGTAAAATTACCTGAAATTGAACTCAAATCACGGATCGATGGAAAGCCGTATTATTGGATTTCAAGTTGTATAATAAATGCAGTCAATTGGAAAATAATGAATTTACTCCAATTTACTCTTGTATGCAAAATTGTACGCGACCAATGTATGTTCTAGTTTCAGCAAAACGTATTTTTTAACATTAATCGCTTCTGGCAGTAAATATTTTCAAAAGATTTGTGAACCATATATTGTGGTAATCAAAACAGATTCACGCGTTACTAGACTGGGATTTCTTGATCGCTATCTACTATGACATGCTTACTGCTACTGATAGTGATTATCACGGAGTGTGCGGTATTATGCAAAGGTGAGTAAAAGATTCAACTGCTCTATTTGATCATTGCTTAGGGAAGGTTAAAACGCTGGGTCTGATTTTGTTTAAATATTCAAATATGATAAAGACACATTGTGCCTTCATACCAATGTTAGCAACCGCTTGTATTTTGAATTTCACTATCTACACTACATTGTAAGGACTATACGCTACTAAGACTCCAATAACATCGGACGAAACGACTCGTCACACACTTATTAAAGCCAAACTACAAAAAACAAATGCTTTGCAGTTGCATGCAGATCTGTAGTTCCTTAAAGCCTTAATTTGCTTTGCTTAAACTCTTTTGATAATTTCGAAAAAGCTTTCAGATACGTGTCACAGCCTAAATTAATTTTCAGCTGAATCTTGTGACGAGTTAGTATTGCATAATGGCAATGTTATTGCAGCAAGCAATCCGCCGTATGAAGCAGGAACTGTCCTGAAATTTGAATGCGATGTAGGATATAAAGGAATAGGTCGTGAAGAGATTACTTGTTTACACAATGGACATTGGTCTGATCCGGTACCTTATTGTCAAGGTAATCTTTATTTTTTCCAATCTCTTACCTTTTTTCTCTCCACCCTACAATGCTTCAAAAAATTTACTAGTTACAATAATAAATGGGTTAAATGACATCATATCAATTAAATCACGACAGAAAACGAAGAATAATCAATACAAACACCATGCAATTTATATTTATCTGTTAAATAATTAGATATTTTATTTATATATAGATATATATATGTAATCCACTGATCTGAGAATTTTTCACAAAACTATCCAACTATCTAAGAGTAGATAAGATAGAGATGACTTGCAGTATTTTGCATTTTATAGATAGGAAGTTAAAAATGCGGCTAAAAGTTAAATAATATCATTATTATATTAGAGGTTGAAGTAAAAGAGTCTAAATTTCGCGGTGTATAAACCGCACTTCTATTGCGGGTAAGGGACCTTTAAACTGTCCGGAGGTGAAAGGTTGGATGTGGGATTCAAGAACGACTGCTGTTAACACACAATACGGCATAAACGCAGACTTAAATATATCGGTAGCTGGTGACCGTATATTTGAACCCATGTGTATATCCGCGGGTTCAATCTATATGCGAGTGCTAAAACCCATGGGTTAGGGTTAGTATGGGTTCAAATATCCGTGAAACAATAAACAAATCTATAGGTGCAATAGTATGCAGGTGCAATTGTCATGGGTTTAAATGTACGTGGGTTCAAATGTAATGCAACCATCGGTAGCTACATCATATCGGTTTAACTTAAAATTCAGTCATGAAATAATTTTTGGATCCAAAATATTTTTGAGCGGGCAGGTTTAAGTGATGTGCCCTAAGCCTAAGTGATGTGTATGAAACATCAATGCACATGTACACACGGCAGCGCGATTGGAAATTCTTTCTCGCAGCAGATTTTCCACTTCGTTTTTATCCTGCCAAAGTATCATAAAGTCTGCTTCGTTTTTGCCTAACTGCATAAAAATACAAGTTCTGAACATATGGCTCGAGGATTTCTCCAATTAACCAGAGTCCGATATCCACTTTAGCAGATGACATTTACACCCAGGACATTTGCACATTTGCCCGCGCCGACATTTTCGCCCGTAGACATTACATTGCACCAACGCATGTCAGACAATTTTTTTTTATTCTAGTTATGGTTCACCTGGCGCACTATGGCGTTTGCATCAGTTTTTAAAGTGAACGAGGCTTTAATGTCTCCTAATACGAAATGATGGATGTCCTCGTATTAGAATTAGTAATAACTACGAACTCATAGGATACCCGTATGGAATTCCATCCTCCAACTTAGTTCAAGCAAAACCCTGGGTGGTAATAGTGGACAAAACCTCGCAAAGCAATACACCATTAGGAATTATCAATACAAAAATGCGTGAGGCCTAAATAATTTGCTCAACGTAAATCTTGCTTTTCCTGGTTTGTCGTTCAACATTATTTATCTCATCCGCGTTTAATTATCTTTCCTTGTCGCAGCATGTTTAGGGTGTAAAACTGAATGAGATGTATATATTCGAGGTTAGTTGTGCTACAATGTAGTTGCTAGTATAGTCATAGACAAGTTTAGCGTGTGATTAATGTTTGCATTATTTCGTTGAAAGAAATGACCGTAACAAAGGCTAATGTGGAACAGAATTATAACTTGTAATGACTATAAAACGTAGCGACCGTAACGCAGACTACACTAACAATTTGTAAGCGATCTTGATTTTCAAAAAAATGTATGAAATACAAATATTTGCGTATTTGAAATGAGATAGAGGCAAATATCCACGAATGCTGATTCCGCGGAGGCAAATGTTTGCTGGGGTAATCTGTATGCGGGGAAAATTATAGTAAATCGAAACATCATCAAAATAGTGTAATCAGTTCTTCTTATTTTACCTTCTGCGGTATTTTGAATTTCAATGTTGAACCCAAGAATACTTTATCACGTGGTGCTATGCATGAAAGTTCCGTGTTTAAATAACGTGTAGTTCAGTAAAAACGAAGACAACAAATTATGGATCTCAAAATTCAAAAAAACAAGGAAATATCTCAAATTGTTCGAAATGTTGAAGAAGTTCGAAAGGTGCCATCAGGTGATATAAAAATACCAAGTAAAACAGTTGATGATGCAAAGAACTGCGGGATATCAAAACATCCGTGAAACCCTGTTGGATGCAATGAATTTGAATGTCTACAGGGCAGGCATAGTGCGCATACTGTATTTAAATGTAATCACTTGTTGATGAACTAAAAAGGACTTTCATTGTGCATCACTGAGTTAGCGATTTTTAATGTCTTATATTAGAAATTAACAGTGTAAAGTCACAGTGCCAAAGAAAATTGTGTGCATGGCTGGAAAGAACGCTTATTTTAAGGGCAGGAAAGCTTATGAATCTCAATAGCTCCAGTTCAATAGTCTCATGTGATAGTTGAGAAAGCAGAGTTTTTCTGCATTGACTCCAATGTTTTTCTGCATTGGCTCCAATCATACTTTCTGTTGTGATTTGCTTTGATATGGCTCCATAAATTACTGGTGTTTTTTTTTAAATCAGCGGAAAATTGGCTTAATGATGATGACCATATTTTACCGATAACGCGATCATTATGGCACACGAAGTATTCCCATACTTGGTTTCAACGCGAGAACCAGCCGTCTAATAATAACATAATAACATAAGAAGTTAAATCACGCCTTCAACGACTAAAGGGAAAGGAAAATTTAAGCGTCGTAGAAAGTGGAAACTACGCGAAACTTCTTTATTGAATTATCAAATGCATATTAATTGACACAAATAAGTCGTTCACGTGCTTTTCTCGCTTCAATTTGCAAGCCACCACGCTCGCAAACTCGCTAGCAAAGTATGAAATCTCGTCCATACGTCCGCTTTAGATAAGAGAGACATCGTCAAAAGCCGCTTTTTGATAAGAGAGAAATAGAAATAGCGTATTAGAGTGTTAGGCCGAACCGCTTTCAATGAACAGGCGATAAAACAGCTCTTCCGACGTAATTTTTGCACTTTGGCAGTCACGTGATTGGCCGATAACTATCGGTAAAATTAGCCGATACCGATAGTTTGAAATTTGTGAAAAACATGGCCGATATATCGGCCGGGACCTAGTCTCAAGTTTGTAGAATAATAAAGAACTCAAATAACTTAGTAAAATGGCAACAAGAACATTTTGGAGTCACATTTAATTACCAACATAAACCATCATATATATTTATTTTTCGGTTATGAACAATTCATGGTGGAGCAATACATAACAATATGTTTCAAGTGCCAAAGGGTTGGACATGTTAAAAAAACTTACAAAATAAAGTGAGACGCACAAATTGTGGATCCAACAAATCAGTGCGTCAAGCAGATGCATGTCTGGGCAAGTATAGTGCAATCACCCGCTAGCCCTAAAATGACCAATGTAATGAAATGTAATGTGAATATTCAATATACAGTGTCAAAACATTAACCTTCAATCAACAACTCATCAGATTTAAATTCACCAAAATTCGACCAACACGGTGAGATTGACAGAATTTTGAAAAAGTTAGTTGCAATTCGGTTGGAAACCGAAGACTTATCGATCGAAGGTTAGGGGATCCCCCAAAACAGTGGTCTTACTCCATAGTGACACCGTGTGTCCCATCACTAATTAATTAATAACTCGTTAATTATACGACATAATCCATCCAAAATCAATAGGCTTCTGATCCGAGCTAAGATGAATGCACATGCAAAATTTAGAGCAGATTGAACCTCACTTTCGTGAGATATCGCGTGCATCTAACACACAGACATACAGACAGACAAATACCTATCAACATACTTACCGATCAAGATCGATAAGTAATAAGTAGTAAAAACAAGACCTGGGAATTTATAGTGGCTGTAACAACTGTTTAGAAAGATAATTTGGTACAAATGGGAAGGAAGACCTAATTGAAACTTCCTGATGACTCTCACATTATTACAATGGAACTGTAGTAGTATCGTAAACTAATTTTTTATTCAGTTCAATTTGTACGCCATATGCTTCGGATACCGGATTTAAATTGCATCCAAGAAACGTGTTATTATTAATAACGGTATAGTGAAAACTAAAATTCACGACCTTATGAAATAGATATTAGAACGCTGGGTGCCGGTGCCTCCTATGAAACGCTCTTTATACGTTTCAACTGGAAATCATATTCCAGTTCGTATAAATGCTCAAGAGATAAAATAAGTGTTTCGGCGACAAAAGAAACCGATGGAAAAAGCTGATACATTGAGAGCGGTGTATTGACATTTCGATGATTCCTTTGCAACGTATCAATTTGTTGTCGGATATATATATATTATATATATAAAAAAAAATTTAGTTTGAGCTTTGTTTTCTTTATGAATCCCTCGAGCAAGAAATCTGAAACTTTCTGTAATTTTTAACATTACCCTCCACTATCGCTACATAATAATGACTATGAAATTCGAACAAAAAATCTTTGGTTTTTGTCGACAGTTACTAGGCCTAGCTATATTTCATGTATTTATTTTTGCTAAATTGTGGCTACAAATCTATATCGTAATTTTCTCTTTCTTAACCCGGTTATCTTTTGACCAGAGTTCGAGGATTAGCAGAAATTTTTTTTCGATATCGTGTTGTATTCCAATAATTCTCCGGAAACTCATCTGGGACTTGGGATACTGTTATGGTAGATTTCACTCTGATAAAATGTGCAAACTTCAGACGAGACTTATGAGTACATAGTCTGTGTCTGCTCTGTCAGGAGCGATGAGAAGTTGGTTTTAGTTATCGATTCAAGTACATAAGAATGCGGGACATGTTATTATGTAGTACAAAGACTCTGAGATATCGTATGCAAAGAAATAGTTTGGGATAATGTTATCACTTCGAGTCTGCAAAGTATCTCACTATCTAATTATGGAATACATGAAAATATATTAAGCATTCGTGATATGCACTTTTTACATGCTAGTATACTTCGTTCAAATACAATATTTTTGCAAATAAATCATGTGTGACCAGGTGTATACCACCGTGCCTATTTTATACAGCGAACCGGAGCGTTTATTATTTTTTCAATAATTTAAAAGATCATGCACGTCTTTATATTATGGACCTATTTTATTCTTTTGAAGAAACGGATAATAACTGTCGCATTTTATTATTATTTTAACAAGCCTTCGTTTGCTCCAAAGATGAGAGTAAGGTTCAAAATGGTCGCAGCTGTCGCAAAAGCTGCGTTGATCATTTCGATTGTCGATCAGGCTTCAAAAGATGTTTATGTGATGATGTTTGTGGAAAGTCTTGCTTTAATCCGGGTGAGTATAACCTATAAAGCATTATCATATTTTCAAACTTAATTTCGTACATCATTCAACTATATACATATGCACACAAAATATTTAGCTAGGACGATTTGATTTTTTTGACAGACGCTGGTTGTCCAAAACCAACAGCACCACAAAATGGATATGTTCTGCAAAACGAGCTGACATACAGCAGTACCATTTCTTACGGCTGTAACCAAGGTTATGCATTGTCTGGTCCACAAACTAGAAGATGTAGATCGGACAGAAAGTGGACTGCATTCGAGCCAACATGTCTAGGTAAGAAGGATGGAATAGTTCCGTGTTTTTTATGATTTCATGTAAAATGGACGATTTTTCGTATCGGTAACGTTAACTGGAGCTTGTTTCAATCTCGTCCATGATGTTATAAATATAGCTAAAGTAATGAATGGTGTAGAATTCAATACTCAGCCTACAAAAATTAGATATCCGTGCCGATTTTCGATGTTGATAAGACGTGCAAAATTTTAATTCGTATTGATTTTTCCAGATCTCACATTTGTCTTTTGTCCTATGCTTACCTTTCACAGGAAATCCTGCATTAACCTATTGATAATTGACCAAGTAATATGTTGGATTTTATAGAGTATGGAGTATGTGGACAGGCAGGGGATGTTCAAAAGACAATAAAATCCAAAGTAATTGAGGGAACAAATGCCAAGGAAGGAGCCTGGCCATGGCAAGCTTTGCTGTTCCGACACAAATGGGTAAAATTGCATCGCAGCGTTGTTATATAACCTATTATCTATTCTAATACCGTTAAATATTAAATAAATTGGGTGATTAGTGTTTGGGACGCATAAATAGCCTCAACAGTTTCGATTTGCTGATTGGGACTCAGATTTATAACTTAATTGCGTTTTAATTTTAAAATTTGACCACTAATTTATCAGAAGGTGCTATGTCATAATAGAAACAAATAAAGCAGCAGCTCTGCATATTCAAAATTCGTAGTCAAAATTATTTCATTTTCATTTTTCAGCCCTTCAATAAGAGAGCGGGATTTGCTGGAGGTACCATAATAAGCAATAAGTGGATTCTTACAGCTGCCCATATACACACAGCGTTTCCCTTAATGCTCAGGAGAAGAGCTTGGAAACAAACCTTCATGGTTGCACTAGGTATTCACTTGTATTACTATTACTCTATTTATCACGAGCACATTTATGGCAATCAAATTTAGGTAAAATTTCCATGGTGATGATACTGCGTTTCCGCAAGAATATGATTGTGTAGATTGAAGAAGGAAAATAATTCAAACCAAATTCGTTAAGCAAAGAATGTCGAATTAATCTGCTCTACCATTAACAATATCTATATTTTGCAGGATTTTTGCGGTACCCAAGTGTTGGAGAAAAAGTAACATCTAACGCAGATTTTATCGAACCAGAAAACTTCATAATTCATTCAAGGTTTGATGATATATCGATGGATTACGACATCGCGTTGGTAAGCTTTTCATAGTTGTAAAGAATGATTCCAACCTTATATTAGCGTGCTGTATTACACATATCGCGTTGATAAGCTTTTCATAGTTGTAAAGAATGATTTCAACCTTATATTAGCGTGATTAGGCGCTCGAATCGCATACCAATCTATTCACAATTATAATTTGAACGATTTGGTTTGATATGATTTTTTGGTCAAGAATTGTAGAAGGAACACGGTAGAAATGCGTCGGAAATGACTCGGAACTACTATTTTATATCTTATCCTACTAACTAAGATTCAGAAATATACTGACGTATTGGATCGTATTTGATCATATATGTAAAGAAAAGAAAGATGAGTGAAAAAGAAGATAGAGGGCGAGATAGAAATCGATAACGGTAAATACCGAACACAAGAGCAATGACATATAATTGTTCTACAGATCAAGGTTGGCAAACACTTTAAACGAGTTGACTCTAAATTTGTTGTTGACGATACTTTGACACCCGGAATAATTCAATTTACTCGATATATTCGGCCAGTTTGCTTACCATGTATGATCAAATATGCGTCTCCAGTAGATGATTTAATTGCAAATTTCAACAAAAAACAATGTGCGCCATTGCAAGGTAAGAAATATATTTCATCAATAATGGTTTTTACTGTGATTGATTTTCAATTTTGAAATATTGGAATTTCCTTTCTGTGCACCACGTTCGACATTTCTCAATCTTTAGAACTTCAAACAAAGTTCTTTCAAAACAAACTAACTCCTTACAAGTCGAAGCATGTACAGAGCATTTTTCGAGTGGCACAAAAAACGAATAATAGGCCATATAGATATATATTAATTCACTCTGCTATAACTGTAGAGCAAAGAGACGCCGAGGCGGGTACAGAGGTGATGGTGACTGGATTTGGTTTAAAGAGAGATCCTGGAAAATCGCAACCTACATATAAACCAGACATCTTACAACAAGGTCATTTAGTTGTCTGGCAAGAAAATCGGTATGTGATTTCAAGTAATTTAATACCTTATCCAGGAAAGAATTGAATAAGCACGGACGGTGACTTACTTTCACGTATAGTACGGTTATTCCGCCCTAGTACAAATTGGCTTCGTCTCAAGGAATGAATAACAATTGCGCTTCAACAATTCACTGTTTTTTCAATGTGATTATTTCTGCAAATTATACTTACTCGATTTCATTCCTTGGAGGAGTTTAATATTATTTATCTATCATCTATCATTTTCCATTTCCAGCCTTAGAATATAAGTTATTAGTCAAACCTGAGTTTAGGACCCGAAGTGAGCTTGAACTCTGTCTACGCCACTGCACTTCGGGTGCCAGTAATTGATTCAAATTTATTTCTATCTATTATCCTATCCATAGATGCGTCAGACAAAATCAAAAAATACGCCAAAGTGATCCTAGTGCAAGATTCACAAAGCGAATGCTTTGTGCCAGGAGTGCAAATGAATCAAAATTTGTGGACGCTTGTACTGGCGATAGTGGTGGACCGATTGTAAAAGCAAGTACTTACTGTAGTACAACAATATTAAGTCGAAAATATTCGAAATCATATAAAAAAAACTTTTTATACTATTAATTAGTGTAACGAATTAATTTGCAATAATTTGTCAATATGTTTCACAATGATCATTGTTGCCCAGCCCAATTATTCATGAATCCAATAGTACTCTTACTCACATGGTAGAAAAGAACCTTATTTCGGGGATAATCTATACAACGTCGATGACAAATATTATTATCAATATTTTCAATGAGGAACAACGAAAATAAATTTGCGGTTCTCAAATGTACGACACAAATGTGATAGCTTTTTTGTAAGTAAACGCCGAAATCAATAGCAAAAAAATCCATTACGCAACTTTTTAAATTTTAAATTTTTGTCTGAGTGTCAAATATAATATTGTGATATTTTGTCTGTTATTAGCATGTCTGGCCATGCATAATCCAATTTTGAGAAAAAAAATATTAGGTACAAGAATTGATTAAAACAATGAATGAAAAATTTGTAATTGGTCTAAACTTCCTTAGTATTCATCCCTTGTGGCCTATGTGTCCCGAAGAGATGAATGAAATGAGATTCCTTGTTTTTTCGATAGATGTGGTCATAAAATAGTTTTTCAATGCCAATGACACTAAAATCCTTATGCGAATGTCCCGGTTAACTGAAATGGGCACCAATCACCAGATCTTTGTTTTGTTACAATTTGATACAATTTTGCTTTTTTCTAGGTTGTAAGAAACAATCAACTAAATAGGTGGATACAGATTGGTATTGTTAGTTGGGGTTACGGCTGTGGAAATGAATACCCGGGATTCTATACATCCGTAGTCAATCTTATGCCATGGATTATCAATCAAACTAAAAATGAAGGTAAGTACAAATGATTTTCCTACTGTTGTGATAAGATGGTAGTTAAATCCTAATTCTTGAATCTTATGGATTTGCATAACTTTAAAAGATACATTAGATGACCAAAAATAGAACCCATGTATTTTGATACATTTCTAGAGAGAACATAACTTTTGTGCAAATCTTTCCAGATAACTCAGACTTTTGGGTACAATCATACAATCAAACAGAAGTTTGAGTATTGGTGGGGACGGGGGGTTTCGGTGTCGAGTGTTGCGGTTTATGCCTCTGAGAAGTTAATTCAATAAAATAAAAAGCCTTAAATAATCCATTATCCAGTTATAACATCAGAGTATAGTAACATATGACGTTTAAGAATAATAAAATCATTATAATTTTTTTATTATGTACTTATTTACGGCAGTACAATCTACTCCTACATGGGATGTGTGGTCTGACTGGCGTCCTTGTTCAACTACATGCGATTATGGCGTATCAAAAAGAATACGATCGTGTTCTGAGCCCGATAAATGCGAAGGTGCGAGTTTCCAAGAAAAGCGTTGTAAGGTCACCAATTGTCCCATTGGTAAGATATTTTCAAGTCAAGATCGTCACCAATTAATTCTATTCCAGGCATTTTTGTTGTTTTTGGTGAAAACAAAATGACTTTTGAACGGTTCATTCGGGAATTTTGTGTAAAGTTTCTTGGTATTTCAAGGTTCGAAATATGATGTCACACCGTTTAGAATTAGATGCTCAACGACATTTGATATTTAACTTCCGGACAAGGAAAAATGAATATGAAATGCTATTCCTTACCTATTTAACTGGTGTGGTCTAACTGGCGTCCTTGTTCAACTACATGCGATTATGGCGTATCAAAAAGAATACGATCGTGTACTGAGCCCAATAAATGCGAAGGTGTGAGTTTCCAAGAAAAGAGTTGTAAGGTCACTCACTGATTGTCGGATTGGTAAGAAATTTGTAACTTGAAATCGTCACTAACTGATTCTGTTCCAAGCATATTTGTTGTTTGTGGTGAAAACTAAACTACTTTGCCAACGCTTATTTTGGGAATTTTGTGTAGGAGAGCTCCTCAGGATTCAAAATATGAAAACTAAATCTTAAACTAGTTTGCCTGCCAAACCTAATAAGTTTTATCAAATATGCAAATAAAAGATCGTCTGTATGCTTACATACATTAAAAAAATGTTATCTGACAGATTGCTCTTGGGGAAGTTGGGAAGGACAAGCTTGCGTTGAACTGCACGGAAAAGGCTTCAGAATAAGACAAGTTAGAAAGAGAGAAGAGGCCCGCCATGGGGGAAGAGACTGCGCAGGTTCAGGGATTAGAGAATTAGGTATTTTGTTGTTTAGCTGGTTTTATATTAATTTTTAATTCTTATATTCTAGCAAAGTTTTTAATAAGTATACTGTTATATTTTAATAAATAAATTGGTTGAAGATTAGTTTTTAAACTCGGTCCGTTTCAAAATCATACGTATATATCTTAAATGTTATGGATTTCATGAAATGTGATATCAATATAGTATCATATGTATTTACATATAGACTCTCTGAAGTTTCGAGATTTAAATATTGATTTTAATCTGAACAAAGCATGACTTTTTGGACACGAAGTGACATGTTTGCCCTGCCATAATCGTTATTCTTCGATTTTCAGAATGCGATCCACCACCTGGCTGGGTGAGTACTGATGAAGTATGTATGCTATACCGTGTTATAAGGGAGCCATTTGGATCTGCCCTGAATTTATACCGTTTTCTTTTAAATCCAATCTGTTTTATTCACAATCCACAAGATTTTCTATATTTTTTATGCATAATGCATCAGACATGACAGGTAGGTTTAAGAAGACGATCTTCTCTTGGGTGTAGGGATTTGTTCAAAAAGAATTGTTTTAAAACAATTATTTTAAATCAAGTTTTTTTTGCCTGTTTTGTTCAAAATTGCTGTACTATTTGATTTTTTTGTATTAAATAGGTTGAATAAAAATAGATGTAAAAACTTGCCAAGCGCTTCTTATTTGCAATAAATCCTTCAAAACGCCACAAATATCGATAGAGGCTCATACACACCTTCTCAAGGTGTAGTTCAGTGGTTGGCGCAGTAAGACGCAACCGCAACGCATTACGTGAACGATTCTGCTGCGACGAAAACACCTTACGAAAATGGAAATGCAATCGGATAAATGAGTTTTTATATTCTTGAAAAACTCCATCCATTCAACCTTTATAACAACGTATGCTAAGCATAAATTAACCGAACAGTATTAATCGTAATAACGCCTTTATTTTATGACAAAAATGTCAATACTAGGGCTGCGAATTTCTGGGAAAACACTTTAAACGTTAACCGGGTAAAATTAACCGGTTAACCGCCGCGTGGCGTTTGACGTCATAACTTATGATTTCAGCTTGTTAAGTCACAATGCTTATAAAGCAATTTCGCGTGTTTTTATCCCGGTATGCCTCAAAATTATTCACGAATCAAGATAGTTTCATGATTGCTCTGCTGCAATATATAGACGGTGTGGTTCGGACATGTGGAAGTATTTTAGAAAGCACGATTCCGTCGTTAAACGTAATTTATGTGACAATATTTCAGTGTTCGATGTGCAAATTCTACTTCGAGATATATATTAAGGAAAGACGGCATCAACTGCGCACTTGTTGTATGACATTGAATATCCGATTTTGCAATGAAAACGTGAACAATAAATTTCGAAATCGACCGAAAACTGATTCTGAATTCATCATTGTCAAATTCCCATAATCAGCAATCTTGGTACTTCCATTATTTTTCGCATTTATTGAGTCCTTACCCACGCAGTTAGTGATATTCTTTTGAATTGAACGCCACATTAGGTCAATATATTAGGTTATAAACTCGAAATCCATACTATGGCGTCATAACAGATTAGTTGTGGCGTCTTTGCATCAGATGACTCTTCTAATTAGCAATTAGCATACGCTAAGCTAGAGTGTCTCATCGTTTACATCAGTAGTTTGCCGCCGATTTAAGCATATTCTGCCCTTGAAGGCTGCCCTTGATCTAATTAATTTTGTAGTGGGCTCGGGAGCTAAGTTTTAATATTTTTCTTACTTAAAACATCTCTCTGATATCTCGGATAAAGATTCCGGTTAAAATCCTATGACCTTGGAGTAGGTATCAACTTGACTTGAATGTACGCAATAGAAGTAAAAGTCAAATTAAGAATTTTGACTTACATTTTTGAAATTATAATTCCGGCTGCGTGTGCAGCTGCCACAACGCAACGTTTTGGCGTAGTTTCACGGAGTTGCAAGGGGTATTTCAATAAAAAAAAATGCAAAAAAAAAAATGATTCGAAACAAGCCTTCGTTTTAAAACACGATGTTTTTTTCAGAATTGATAATAAACAAAACTCTACTTGGGTGTAGCACAGGGGAAATGTAATAGGCGCGAAAGGTTCTATGACTTACCAAATTTGATGACTGCAACAGGATGAATATGACCTTAGAAATGTATTGATCGTTGAACCATTAATGAAAGTTGGGCACTTTGAATCATGGCCAAGTTAAACCTCATTTCGAGCTCATCTGAGTTTTAATACTAATTGATGGGTTGATTTTGACACAACGGGGCGCTGGTTTCTTTATGCATATTGATCCTCTAGTTCTGGTCGATAAACAGAAAAAGGCAAAATTCTAGTCTTCATAATAAGAACAAAAACTGTAAATTGTACAAGTTGTTCAACTATATAATTGTGTACTACATCAGTGCTTCTCCAAAGTTTTATTAAATTGATACATGAATAAATTGGAAATTCAGCAGTCACTTCCTCGCCGGTGTTATGGAAAACATACTTTGTAGCTCTACGCGTAGCGCGAATGTGCGAATAACTACTTAATTCAGAAATTTATTACGACTACAAAACAAATGGTATTCATAATTATAAATGTTTCCAATTAAAAACTTTTTAGGCGCCTGGAAAAGGTGGAAGAGATTTGCTTTTTTTGTTGGACGAAAGTGACAACGTTGGGGAAAAACGTTTTCAAACGGAGCTGGGTTTTGCGAAAGCTCTGACATCAAGTAATTACTTCGATAGCAGTTTTAACGTAGTTGATATTTAAATATGAACAGACAAACAGGTGTATTTACTTAATGTAATTGATGTTCTCAATTAATACCTCTTTCGGGATTTAATATATTGTACATTAAAGAGATGTATTATTTTGATAAGCTACAAAATTATATTCATTACATTCGGCGACATTTTGCGAACTTTGTGAATATCTAAATTATACAATAACATTTTTTAGACCTCGTCTAATATGAATCTTTAAAAATTCTTTTTGCAGGTTTGTGTGCGGGAATCGCAATTAGTGGTACACAAACAAGAATTGCATTGGCAACATTTTTTGATTCTGTTCATACTAAGTTTCAATTTAATGACTTCAATCAACGTAAACCACTATTGGAAAAAATGGCAGAAACAAGGCAAATTATTATTTTTTATACGTTTTCCTATAACGAAAAGAGCTTTACTAATGGACCCAATGCGCTAATATTTTACAACGCAAGTAACGGATATATAGCATTCACTGATATCACTGAAATTTCTATGTTTTAGGTATCTTCCTGCAGGAAGGAGTCCAAAGAAAAGCTGTCTTCCAGTTGCACTTAAAATCGCGTCGCAAATGTTCACACCAAGTATGGGATCTCGTAATTTGAAAACTGTAGATAAAATGGTTATAATAATAACAAGCGGGTAAGGAGTGTTGTTGATACGATCAGAATAGGAAGATAAGTTTCTGTATCCAATATCATCTCACAAAGCATTTAAACTCAACTATGTGTCACGAAGTACGAACATATTTTTATTTCAATTATTTTTTAACTAGATGCTCAGACTGTGGACAAAGTCAAGAAAAAACTAATAAACAATTGACTGAAATAGTGAAATCGATGAATGGGAATAAAATTTCAATTCTTACTTTTATCATTGGGGATTTTGGAAAATGCGAAGAAGAACAATTTCAGGTATCCCATTGTATTAATTTGATTACAGCTGTAGTAGCATGCCTGGAAAAGTTTGTTTTACCAGCTTTAGTAATTGCCTAGATTTTTTCTATACAATAACAATACTTCACTCGCATTTACATCATGGTTTTCAGGCATTGGCTACAGGTACAAGTTGCTACCAAACGTTTCGTTCACGAGATTGGAAGGAGTTCGAGATCATGTTGTTATTTATTCAGAATAGTCCGTGCATGGATCAATGGACTTTAGGCGCAAAATGCGCATAAACCTACTATATAAAAATATAAATCATATTCATTTTAATCAAATCGAGTATTTTGTTGTCAAATGAAAAAGCTAGGAATATTAAGCATGGCATTAGAAGCACAACTCCAATTGAAGATGGAGTAAGGGATTTCACGAACAGATTCGGGATAGATGTGCGATGTCATAACCTAATGCGACCGTTAGCAATCTTACAGGGTGACAACAAAAACGGAAACAATAAATTTCTTAATTACTTCCACAAAAAATGGAGTAAAATATTTATTATTGTCTACAATTCCGTTTGTGAATGATTGTACCCGAAAGTTTCAGAAATCTAGCACGTTTTGCACAAAAGTTATGTTCTCTCTAGATTAGAATATGTTCCTAATGCCGTCACCGGCGTTGAAGACAGGTTGGCATCAATTACCCCAAATTGTCAATCACTCGCACAAACTCTTTTATGATGTTTATTTTTTGCTTCAATTGCATCCTAGAGTTTACAAAATATTTGGGGATCGTTATGATATAAATTGTCTTTCGGCCATCTTGCTGAATCCCTTTCACAGTTTACATCCAAGTTATATCCAGAACTTTGTCGTCACCAGCACGGAGCGTTCTATATTCACCGTTTGAGGTATTTCATTTTCATCTCCAAACCAATATGAATCGATTATTCTATATTTGGAAATAATTATCCATGCAGTGCGCCGAGCACTTTTCTGAGTGCAGCGGTCTCTGTAAGACTACCTTCGGAAGTGCTGTGCCCCGGTAAATATTGCTGCTATTCAGATGTCCTGACAGCAGCAGAAAGTACACTTCAGCAGAAAACCAAGTGAGCGATCGACAATTTTGCGTAACGGATCCAAGTCTGTCTCTAAAGCCGAGGTAATTTGGAACATATTCTAGAAATAATATTTCCCCCTTTACCAAACCTTCATAGATTTTTGAAACTTTCGGGTGTAATCATACTCCAGCAAAAGTTCATAACATATTAAATAATTTTTTTTCATTTTTCTAGAAGTAATTAGGAAATTCATGTGCTTCGTTTTTTGGGTCACCCTGGTATAAATAAAAGAGAAAATAGTACATCATCATTTAAATAGTTGTATATTAACTTGAATATATATGACATTGGCTGTTGTATATGCATATTGACTACTGGCTGGGCGCTAACAACAAATCGGGTAATCACAAGAAATGCATGCTTGATTTAACATTTAATTTGCATGTGCTTTTGGTGCGGGCAATTTACCATTGGGCGTAATATATTTTGACTTATTGTTAACGCTTCATTCATCGAAGTCCTTCTATGCTGCCCGGCATGATTAGTCGCTGTTATATATTTTGAATAGTTATACTGCTATTTCAAAGTAAAGTGTCGAGGGCAAGCCAGTTTTTCAAGAGATCGTAAGTATTTCGACAAAAATATACCGGAATTCCGCTTACCAATACCGTAGCGCGTGCAAGTGATGGCGCCACTACTACGATTGTCCGTAACCTTGCTTTCATTTCACCCCTAAAGGTAACAAAGCCAAATACGATGACGTAAATAAATCGGCAACATTTGGTGGTCAAAAATGGGAGCTGTCGTATTAACCTATCAACATTGGTGGATAGCCATCAAAGCAGCGAATAAAACAAAGTTCATAACTAGGTTGAGGATACCCTTGGGTGCTTGCGACTGAAATAAACCCGGATCTCAACAAGCTGAGGCATTGCATTAAGTTCATCCTACTTACTCATCGGATTATACCTATTAATATAAAATAAATTAGTTTCAACTTTGTTTTGTGTGTGGGGGAGGGACGTGAAGCGGTTGGTAGCCACTGATTTGTCCGAGCGTGTGCTGGAGACAAAAGTTCGGAAAACTCACCAACTTCATTCGTGTTTTTGTATCATGAGACATTCAATGACAAGACGATATGAATCAATTCCAAAAATTTCGATAGTCAAAAAATATTCATTCTTAAAATCGTCAGCAAACAGTCTTCAGCCCACTTACTAAAACCTGGTGGCTCTAATGTGTGTTGTTGTGATTTTGCAAAATTTGTGATTCAATAGCAAAATTGTGATTTTTTTATTAAATAAGTAAGCCTAAATTATAAACCATATAAAATCAAAATGCATACTTGCTTAAATTATTGAAACTAATTTTATTTTATCTATTGGAAGTTTCATTAGCAATAGGAAAACAGGGAGCAGATTAGGCAATAGATAATTTATCATACAAATTATAAATATTGTGGAATATAGAACGTTCAAATGTATTATCCATTCACTTCATCACAATAATTATTTCCACGTTTATGCGTGTGTCATAACGCGTCTTATTTTTTCCAGGCTTGTCCATGGGACATATTTTTCTGTCCCATTCCGATTCCATAGCAATTATGCCTGTTCCATCCCATCTCATGGGATTCCCATTGGAAAATTTTTTAATAAAAATTGCTAAATTTAGGTTTAGCGTCTACTAAATAGGACTAAATAGGATTCTCATGGGAATCCCATGCCCATGGACAAGCCTGATTTTTTCCTCAGAAACATCAGGCACCTTTGACGTAGGCTTAACTATGAAACACTTCTTGATAAGGTATGTTTATAATCAAACACCGGTCTAAATGATGCTGTCTAATTCGTGCATTAAATTTGAATATGCACGAGTTCTGAGCATGGCGAAGTGTCTTGCAAAATATTGAACATCATAACAGAAGTCAAAACAATTAATAAAATCTGATTGCAAAATCAGAAGAGCAGACCAACCATTACTTGAGGTTTGAAAAGCACAGAATATAAAGTATGTTGCCGAAAGAAGTGGTACGTGTTCATATCCATACTTAAACATACAAGTATAAAGATATAATAATAAAATAACTCGAGATATATTACATAGTAAATTAAAGAGAAGACCAAATATACATAATTAACAAAAAATAATTGCTACATCATATCAATAATTTTGTAAGAATAACAAAATATAATACCAAATTAGTAAACAGGAGTGAACACAAGGGGTGGCCAATTTGAATTTAATATTCGAATATAGCGACATTCGAATATCGTTTTAAGTGTTCATATGAATACCGAAAATTGCGCACACATTCTAGTGCCGCCGTCCACGTTTTGATTAAAAACAATTTACAATTCCTTTTTTTATCGCAATCCAAGACAGACTTGTGCGCGCGGCAATTAATTATGGCCAACATGAGATGATTTCAATTAGCGCCGACAAGAAGTGCTTATAACAAGGTCGAGGATGTTTTTGATTGAAAATATTTTACAATTATTATCGTATATTTCAACTTAGTCGAGATGGTTTGTGCGGCCACGGCAATATATCCCAAAGCAAATTGTGTCAAAACTTTTGCATTCTTTGCAATTTACAGCTTATAAAATGGCTCTTAAATTTTATTTAGTATTGCGGATTTTACGTTATCCCGGCGTCCAGTTTCAGTTGGCGGTATCAAGTTAAAAGCACAAATAAAAGCATAACAACCGACATGAAAGATTGAAATCAGCGCCGAGTCAAAAAATAAAACCCGATTTTCGGTCTTAATTTTTCGTCATTGGCGGATGGAAATTCGGGAATCGGGTTTACTCGTTTGATTATGACGATGATCGCGTAAAAACATTTGCGTTTTTCCAAAGAACTTTAATATTCCTGCACATTTGAAAACGTTCCACTGGGCGAATAGTTGCTCTTTTTTGTATCTGCCAAGATACACCACGATTCATAGGTGTGAACACTGTATGTTTATCAGGTCTCTTTTCTTAGAGGCAAGAAAACCACACATTCCATTTTTATTTATTGCTGCTTTACAATGATTATATTACTAAGCTTAATTCCTATGTACATGGATTTCGGGTAAGTGAATAAAGTATGTGGGGGATTTTATAATGTATTCGAAATAGTCAAGTATTTGGTTATGGCCATCCCTGGTAAACAGTGAAAAAAATAATATTTTTTAGGACATCACAAAGCTTGTTATAGCAGCAGTCAAAATATCCAACCAGAATTGACACAACTTGGATGCATGAAAGAGGTGCGCATTATGGAATACATTTTTGTGTGCAATGACGTACTCAAAAATGTTGCAACTTGTTTTATTTTACAACTGAAAATTTTTATCAGAAATTCCAACGAAGCGAACACATCAAGCAGTCGATATTCCACTACGTAGCCTGTGAATACTGTGGAAACCAACGTATACGACATATATCTCGGGATTTCAAATCTCTAATAAATGCATGTAGAATCCCAGTGCCGGATTTATTACTAGGGTAGACTGAAGCCTAGGAAGGAGCCCCTAGAAGCCTCGCCATGTAGTTTCGAACGTATTTACGCAATTTAAAATTTACTTATGATGCCATAATATTTCCGACACACACACACACGACTCTTGAAAATCTATCATGAACGCCATTCTAAAGGGAACCTCACAAATGGCATAGCCTAGGCCTAGGGTCAACCTTTCCCCGACCTTTGATCCCCGAAAAATTCTTCTTATACTTTACCATTGCAAAATATTCGGGGCTATTTTAAGAGTGCTTTTGCGAGTTGGCGCCTGTAAAATGGGATATGTGTTTTAAACCATCATTATGATTCATCGGATACAACAATCTGTTTTTTAAAAATACCGGTGAAGAATTTTAGCCTAGTCTATCACAGCTATTTATACACTATTTTTTTATTACTGCAATTAAACTAAAACTCCTAGGAGGAGAGAGTGATCATTGAATTATCTGATTTATATTTGAGTTCCCGAAACACAACTGAAAACTAACGAATAGAGTTCAAAAACGCGAAAACGAGGTAATGTTTGCGACCACGCTTGAAAATCTGTCCAAGTTAGAAAAGTGTCTGAGCGGATGCGAAAAGGGAACATTGTTACGTCACTTTTCTCATCTTGCTGATTGGCCAATGTCACGAAGTAAACAAGGAAGTCGATGCTCGGGGAAAAGCTGTTCACCAACTTGCAATGTTATAATATATCTCACAATAACTTCTGTTACGTAAAAAATA